TGTCGGTTGGGAGAGATGTCATGGTAGCAGAACTGACAATATAATTAGGTGGGGGGGGGCATGTCATCTCACCCACATCTCTCCAACTTTTCCACTAGGTTAGTATGAGAAACTGGATCAAATGCTTCGCTAAAATTAAAATCTAGGTAAACTATAACTATAGCATCCCACAGATCTACTATTTTAATGAATAACTGACAAAAAAGGAAGTAAGATTAGGCTGGCAAGATGTGCTTTTTAGGATCTCAGCTTCCTGTTCTAGATGTTCCCCCGCCGTCTCTAATTTGTGGGAAATCCTAGAGCAGATTCCTAAAGTCAAGAGCACTAGGCTCTCATTTGTAGACTGTTTTTCCTTTCTGAAAATCAGAACATTGCCCTTCTCAAGTCTTATCAGGTACCTGTCATGTTTATGTACTTTCAAGTATCATCAACACTGGCTCAATAAGACAGCGGTTCAATAATCAAGGCTGCCACGTAGCTTATCTGGGCCAGGTGCCTTTAATACTCACAGTACAGGTTCTTTCTTACACTCTTCTTTCTTATCTTGGGTATCAGCTCCCTGTCATCCATTCTTGCTCTGTGCAAAGAGTGAACAAAGGTCACTCTCCTGGCCAGAGAAAACAGAAGCAATCTCTGCTTCTGCTCTGAGCAGCTCTGCCTTCTCTCAGTCATCACTAATATTCCTCCTTTTCTGCATAAACAAGCACTTCTCTCTCCCCCAACACATCTCCAAAAGAACCCCAATAAAGCCCTTTCGTAGCCTTAGCTTTCCTTGGCAGCCTTTTTAGCCTTCCTGCCATTTCTTTTAGTACTGTACCACCCTTCCGTGTTCTCTTGATTCCTGCCCTTACTTCCATCTTCCATTTAAACTCCAAATCACCTGGTGAATTCCCTGTGTATTCACATCAATCTCGTCACACAAATCCCATTTTTCCTCCATCAAAATTGCTTCCCTTTGTGTCTTCAGAATTTTATTGCTGAGATACTTCCTGGGCTGTGTTACCAATTACAAAATAGGATTAAATTTCTCAGCTGGCTTCCCCTGCAGGATCCTCCATGAGATCCTTACCTGTCTCACCTGTAAAATCTGCTTTCTAAAATCTAGGATTCACATCAGACTGTGCTGAACTTCATACTCTTCCAGGGATACTGGTTACCTCCCCCCAAGATTTATATCATTTTCACCCTGCAACCATTCCTCCCTACTAGGGAGAACCAAAAGCAGAAGAGAACTTCCTGTTGTTGGTTCTTCCACCTTTTAAAGGATGAAATTATCATTAAGGCAGGTCACAAAATTGTTAGGTAGAGAACCCCAGCAAAAATCTGGGTAAGTGAAGTCCCCAATCACTATTATACTGTGCTTCTGTGTCAGCCTTGTGATTTGTTTCTTGAATTCCTCAACTATTTCCTCTTTCTATCCAAATGTTCTATAAAATAAAGGCTTTGAAAAGGTCATAGGATTTAGCAGGTAAGAAATGGCTGGTAACCTTGGAAAGAGCAGTTTCAGGCCATTGGTGGAGTCAGAAACCTGAATGAGGCTTTAAGGGCTGAGAAGTAAGAGGTGAGAAAATGGAGATAACAATTGTAAATGAACCTCTCTAGAACTTTGGCTATGAAAGGGAAGACCGATATAGGAGCTATCCTCCACCATCCTTAAATAAATGCCTTTGCTAGGGAGCAACTAACTCCTCTATGAAGAAAACAACAACAATGAAAAGAGCTGACAAGTTAACCCTAGACATATGTTCTATTGTCTCCTGGGGAGAGACTATTTGGCGTGATTTCCTCATTAAGAAAGAACCTGCTCCCACAGAAGCTTTAGAGTTGGTCAAGAAAGAAAGAGGCCAGAAGAGATAAAGTATCAGATTCCCCTTTCACTCAAAAGCCCAAGATGCTCTAAACTAGAAATGCCCATTCTCCTCAAACTCTCCCTACCCCCACCTCTATCTTGGGAAAGCCACACATCAGCTTTCCCAATCACTGGACTGGAGCCCTACTAGTCATATTCCCCAAAGGGTTACCTTCCCTTTGCCTTAGTCAGTTAAAATGGGGGGGGGGAGAAGGCACACCCAGGTCATTAGTATCCTAGTTCTGTGCCTGGCTAGCTTCAGAAACACCAGGCCCTGTACCCTCTCAGAAGCCTGAAATCCATGTCCCCAAACACCAAACCCTTTCCCTGCCTATGCCTTCACTTCTAGAACCAAAGAATATCAAAGTTGGACTAGATGACCGAATGGTCCCTTCCAACCCTATCTGAGCAAGAATTTCCTCAATAATATCCCTAAGGAGCCTTCACCACCTAGACGAAACTTAATACTTTCCAAGGAAACTAATTTCCTACTCTATTGTTGGACAGCTCCAATTCTTTAGGAAGGTCTCCCACATAACAAGCTAAAATCTGCCCTTCTCCCCCACCCCCAAACCTCTAATGTTATTATTTCTGCCCTCTGGAGTCAAGCAGATTCAATCCAGTCCCTTTTCCCTCCAAGATGAACCTTCTGATATTTGAAAAAACATCCCTCTGATCCCAGCTCATAACTCAGTGCTTTCATGGGGAATAAGGAAGCTGAGGAGAGGGAATAAAGAATGTGATTCAGAAGATGAACATCAGTCCCTACTAGATTCCTGATCCACAGCCTCACCTTGCAACAGGGGTAGGAGGAACTGAGCTTACACCCCAAACCAGAACTGTTTGCCCTGCCCAAGCTGAGCAGGAAATATTGGGAAAGCACTAAAGAAAATGTTCTCCACAGGTCATGGGGCCAAGTGAAGGGTAGAAGGTAAGGAAGGGGTGATGATGAGAAAAGACAGGGAGAGCTCAGTGATAAGGGAAGGTCTATTCTAGGCAAAGGAGGAAAGCAGTAATAGGGTAGGCAATGATTGGGGGGAAATAGGGAAGAGAAGATTACAGAGATAATAAAAACACATTAAATACCACTTAACTGTTTACAAATGAGTATCATCTCATTTAATCCTTAAAATGACCATGTGAAATAAGCTGACAGCACAAGTACCATCATCCTCATTTTATAGCCTGGGAAACTGAAATCCAGAGCTGTTAAAAATAATTTTCCTGAAGTTAACATAACTAGTTAGTGACAGAGCTGGGGCTCAAACCCAGATATTTAGACTCCTAGTTCAGTGCTCCCTCCACTATGCTGCTGTTGGGAAGGATGGTTAGGAGTAGGCAAAAAGATTGAAAAGACAAATGGTGACAGGGAAGGATAGTAACAGGGCACAGATGAAGAGGTGGGAAGGATGGTGATACACATAGAGTCCCCAATCTGGCAGGATCCTTCAGATACCATTTCATCCATTCCCTTGCCTCTAAGCAAGATGGCAACTGCACCTAATGTAGTGAAATAGGATGAGGGGAAAAGGGAATCTCTTCTTTCTCCAAAGCAAATTTCTCAGCCAATGTTGGATATACATTCCAGGGCTTCCTACCCACGGAGCATGCACTCAGTAATGCTATCTCTCCCTTAATCATCCTAATTAGAAGTGACCTTTCTCTACTTTAATCTCTCTTAGCACTGTGTTCATACTACTCATACAAGATAGTATTTTGTTTCATGTTACATTTTAGGTCACCCTGAAGCAACAAAACTGAACATAAAGACTCTGCACATAATAAGTTCTTGACAGTTTGCTGACTTAATGGTATGAAAAATTCTTCCTCATAGAATGAGAAGTAGGAGTTCTGATGGGAAGTGAGGAGGGCTTGAATTAGGGTAGACACCTTGATGAGTAGATGTAGGAGATCTCCTTTTCCATGTGGTACATAAAGAGATAAAGGACCCAAGAGCTGTCCTTGAGATTACAAGTGTGCCACTCTCTTCCCCTCCCTGTTGTACAGACAGCTCTGGGACCAAGGGCTTCCTGGTTTAGTACAGAGGTTGAGGCTGAGGACATGGGCTCAGGAGGACATGCCCTTAGGTAGAAGGAGCAGAAGGAATTGAAGGTTAGCTATGAGGAATAGCTTGGTAACCAGTTTCTCTTCCGTTTAGCCTCTCCTGCCCAATCTATCCCACATGCGCTGGTTGATTTGTCTTTATGGCTTCTATGGTTCTGATCACATTACTTTCTTGCTCAAAAATCTTCTATCTCCTAAAGAATAAAAGCCAAATTCCTTAGCACTTAAAGTGCCTAGCACATAGTAAGCAAGATCTGGCTGCAATCTAGACTCCCAGACTTCTTACTATCCCCTTACACATATGCACCCTCTGTTTTAGCCAGAGTTAATTTCCCACCATGGCCCATTCCCATACTTTTGTTAATGCCTCCTTCAGTGCCCCCTACCTCGGCCTATCAAAATTCTAGCCATCCTTCAAGGCCTGGCTTGAAAGCCACTCCCTCCACGGAGCTCTCCCTGAATTCCCAACTACAAGTTGAGGATCCTCTGAATCCTCATAGAACTTTTTCCTACAAAGAATACTTCCCCCCCATGGGCTCATTCACGCTATTTTGAGGAGGAACTCCACCATTCATAGGGTGTTACCATAGCTAACTCGTATAAATTATAGGAGTTCATTACTTATCCCTTTTTCTGGACCCGCCCTCTTCAATCAGTTTATAAACGCCTTGATAATAGGGACTGTATCCTATTTCATTTTGCTTTGTCAATGCCGAGTACAGAGCCTTGCACACAGTGGGCATCAGTGTGGGGTTTTGGTTTTTGGTTTTAAACAAACGCATGAATGAGAGAAAGGGGCTCCCTTCCTTCTCAGAGTCTCATACACGGCCTGAGGTAAAAGATCAGACCTAAGAGTTTGGGGGAGGGGAAAGAGTGAGGAATCCGGGCAGTCACAGCAGGGAAGGAAGGGTCGGGACAGAAAAAGACCGGGAGGGGAGGGGGCTGGGGAAGCAGCCGCCGCGAGAAAATTGGGGGCTGGAGGTTGGCAGTGGGAGGGTAAGGAAGTCGGGGGGGGGGTTGGGAGTCGGTGGTCGAGCCGGGAAGGGTCACTCAGGGGTTACAGGGGTCCAGGATTAGAGCCCACTACCTCAAGTCTGGGGGGCCCGCGCCCTCTCCGTCTCCTTCCTCAGAGGGTGTCCGGGTAAAAGCTGGGGCTGTGGTCGGGGTGTCCCCCCCGCCGCCGGCGTCTGCTCCCGCTCCCGCCGCTGCCCGTAGCTCCTCCTCGGTCTGGGTCCCCGAGGTCCCGCCACCACCGCTACCCCCGCTTGCCGTCCGCGAGCCCGTCCTCCGGCGCCGAGAGCCGCTCGCGCCACCTCGGTCCCCCATCTCCTCGGCCTCAACCTCCGCCACTGCCAGCAAGAGCCCGGCCGCCCCGCGGCTCCGGCACCTCACGGCCCGGCCCGGCCCGGCCCCGCCTTCCCCGCCCCTTCGGCCAACGGCCGCTAACTGCCAACCTCTGCCCCCTGCCGGCCGCCGTAGGCCACGCGACGAGCCGCCCCAGTCCCAGAAGCTCCAGCTGGTTGGGGAGGAGAGGGGAGGGAAGCAGCGGACTTAGGAGAGCGCAGGCGCACGCCGCTCTCGAGGATTTGTAGGTCCCGCGGAGGTGGGGCGAGGCACGTGGGAGTGTGAAGCGCAGGCGTAGTGGCGACCATAGGAACGTCGGGTCTTGTAGTCAAGGGCGGGTAAAGAGGGGAGCATCCACTCCTCCAGACGAGCAGTGGACTTAAAGAAGGCTAAGACGCAGGCGTGTCCCGAACCGGTGACGTTGCCAAAACGCACCCTGGGAGTTGTAGTGTGAAGATGACTCAAGCACGTGGACCAGAAGTGGCTCTGTTGCCTAGTTCTGCGTTCCTGAGTCCTGGTGCTGCACCACTTATGACTGGTAACCAGAGTATTGGGGAGCAGGAGAGTTGTAAAGACATAACAATAAATTAATGAATTAAGTCATTCTCTCCTACTGCTTATCCTCTCTGCCATAACACTGCTGACACAATAAGCCTCCTGTTACATAACTGACCATGCTACTGCTACAGTTACACAATGAAGGAGTTGGATAAATGATCTCTCAAGTCCCTTCCCCACTCTTCTGTTTTATGTTTCTACTCTATTTGAAAACCTTCTAGAATCCCCTTAAGCTAAAAGATAAACTACTAACTTCTTAGCCTGACATTTAAAGCCTTCTACAAGCTGGCTCCAAGCCTGCCTTTCCAGCTATAGTTCTTGTTACTTCTCCTTATGAACTGTGCATTCCAGACAAACCGAACAACTTTCTGGTCTCTGAACTCCCTTGGTACGTTTCTTCAGGTCATTAGTCATGCCTGGAATGTACTTTATTACTCAAGGCCTGCTGAAATTCTTCTAGGAGTTCCAGGAAGAGCGGGAAATGAGTGATCATTACTAAACCCAGCTCCCCTAAACACCTTAAAATAATGATAAATGAGAAAAATAAAATAGAATAAGGAGAAAGAGCAGAAGAAAAGAACAACAAGAACGAAGGAGAAAACCTTCGAAGGAAAAATAACAGAACAATGAAATGAGGAAGCCAAAAAACAAACAAACAAACCCCAGATCCCAATACAATTCTACCAGGTAAAAGAAAACAAGAGTCTTGGGGTTTGAGCTGTAAGGCCAATAAATTAAACACTCTAATTTTGCAAATGAAGAAACTAGGCCCAAGGATATTAAGAGCTGACTCCTGATCTAGTGCTTTTTCTGCTGTACCCTGTTGCCTCTTCTCCAGAAGGAAAGAACAGTGACTGTAATAAGAACTACACCCCTAGAAAAGGTAATGGACACATCACAAGATCTTCCAGAGCATTTAGAGTCTATAAAATTGGAAATAAGTTACCTGATGGAAAAAGTGAATCAGAACATAAGAATTGATTAGATGGAGAGTAGGGATGGAGTAGAAAATTTCTGAGGAGCAGAGTGACTCAATGAGGATGAAAAAATATATAAGTAGGGAAACAGATATCAGAGCTTTTTAAAAAGACAACACTGAGAGATTTCAGTTCTCTCCAAACCAAAGCAATAGAGCTACAGAACTGAGACCAGCAAGATAATCTGAGAGTTACTGGTTTCCTAGAAAAAAGAAAAAAGCCAATGGTGTGAACACCATATTCCAGGTACATGGACTACTATATTCTGGAAAATTGTCTAGAAGTATTGGAAACAGAGTGCAGAGTGAAAATTTATAGAATTATAAAATACCAACGAAGACAATCTCTAAAGTTCACTCCTTAAGAAATATAGTCACCAAGTTTCGGAGTTCCTTGTCAAGGAGAATTTTGCAAGTAACCAAGAGGAAGCATTTCACATAACCAAAAAAGAAACACCCATTCCCATTGTGCAAGACTACTCAATAATGACAAAAATTGAAAAAAGATAGTAAAATGTTATATACTGAAAGTCAAAGAGAATCAGCCTGCATCCCAAAATTGCTTTTCCTGGAAAACTGAGCATATTCCATTAAGAGAAAAAATGGTTCTTCAACTAGGTCAGAAAGTTCAGTGCTTTTCTGTTGTGAAATCCAGAAGTCGTCAGGACCTTTGGCATGCAAATTGAACGAGAAGCAGAAATAAGTAATCTAGATATGAGTACACGTCATAAGTAAAAGATAAATCAATTTATAGAAGTTTTAAGGAGATAAGTTTCATGTAGCTGCCTTTAAGTTCTAGGTTTTTAAGGGTTATTAAAACTGAAGGAAAGAATTCCTTGAAAAGAAAGCAGATCGGGGCAGCTAGGTGGCTCAGTGGATAGAGCACTGGCCCTGAAGTCAGGAGGACCTGAGTTCAAATTTGGCCTCAGACCAGGCCACTTGACCCTTACCAGCTGTGTGATCGTGGGCAAGTCACTTAACCCTGATGGCCTTACCAAAAAAGAAAGCAGATGGAATTAAAGGATCTGGTGGTTTTCAAATTTGATAAGGTATTCTGTCAGTTTAAAAAAAAAGAATTTGAGCACAGCTTTTATATGTGTATATTTATTTGTGTATAAATATGCACACATATATATTATAAAACATATAAAAATATAAATTTTAAAGAATGAGATAATAGCGTATGTGGCATGGCATAGGGGAGAGGGAGTCAGCCTCCCAGGAAGACTTGGACCAATTGCTACCTCTGCCATATACTAGTTATGAATAAGTCACTTGACCTCTCACTGTGCTAGGCAATTCATAAGATTATATATTACAGGGGAGGTGCTGATCTGCAGTGAGAGAGGGAGTTTACTCACCTAGGAGTCCCCCTATCAATGAAACCACAGGTCCAATTGCTATCCTAATAAAGTTTTGAATGAGAGCAATGTGGTTGAATCTGCTTCATTATTTTTTAGAATCATGACATCACTTTGTGATATAGCAATTTGAAGGTCTGATTCTAAGTTCAGTATATAATTCATTATTTGGTTGTAATGGCTGTCATAGCTAAAATGAAATCTCCCAAAGATTTGTGCATCCTAAGGGAGAAAGTGTATCACTAGCCTGCTTATTAGCCACAATATTCATTTTTCAATCCCAACCACCAATTATACAAAGGTTTTTGTTGAAAGTCAGCTAGTAAATTTCCATTTTCACTGCACACAAATCAGAAAATGTTGCATCTTTATGGTTTTAATAAATGGGTTCAAAACCCACTGAAACTCTCTGGAAGGTTTTAAAATAGGTTAGAAAATTGTGCTTCCAAGTTATTAAAGTGTGCAGCTCCTGAAGAGGGATATTTTTGAAGAGGAGGCCACCAGTTGCGCAGAGAGTTGTTAAGAAAGATAATCATCAAGAAGACAACAGTAGGTCTGTCAATTAAAAAACCACTGGGGGGGGAGATACAGAGAGAGACAGAGACAAAAAAGAGAGGGAGAGAGACAGACAAAGACACAGAGACAAAGAGGAGGGAGAAAGACAAAGAGGAGGGAGACAGAAAAACAGAGGGAGAGACGGAGACAGAGAAAGACAGAGAGGCAGAGACAGAAGAGAGGGGAGAGAGAGGAGAAAGACAGAAAGAGAAGAGAGAGAAACAGAGAAAAAGAGAAAGAGAAGAGAGACAGAGAGAGAAAGAGAAGAGGGAGAGAAACAGACAGATAGAGAGACAGAGAGAGACGGTGGAGAGAGAGCGAGAAAGAGAGAAACAGAAGGAGGAAGGAGAGAGAGCTGTTTCATTCTGTAAAAACGTTTAGAAGAAAAATTAGATAAGAGGAAGTGTCTGAGGCTTGGAATATGCTATATACAACTTTTTCAAGGAATTCATCTGAGAAGGGGAGGAGAGATAAAAGATGAAAGCTGGCAGACATAATCATATCATGTGTTTGGAAACCTTAAAGTGCAATATAAATGTTTTAGCTATTACTATTAGTATCTAGTGAGAGGGTTGGGTTTTTTTTTTTTTAGTGGAGGAGACTTGGGTATATTTGTAAGCAGCAGGGAAGGAGCCAGCAGATGGGGGAAATTAGAGAATGGAGCTGATGGTGGTAGAAATCTGCTGGGGCAGACAGGAGGGCTTGGAATCAAGTATGCATGTAAAGGAGTTGACCTTTGCAAATATCATGTCCACTTCATCATCAGAGATTGGAGGAAAGGAGAAGATAGTTTGGGATGATGTCAGAAGAAGGAGGGGAAAAGAAGGCATTCTCTGAATGGTCTCAATTTCTTCAGTTAAGTATCAGTCAAGTTCTTTGGCTGAGAGGCTAGTGGGGGAGGAGGTAGCAAAAAGGAAGGAATGAAAGCTAAGTTCTAAGCACCCAAGATTCATCTTTGAGAGTGGAAGTCAGGATAAGGATCCTCAGAACTTACATGGACTTCACCTATACATTTGTATATGGGTCTGTATATGTGTGTGTGTACATATACATATATGTATGTATATGCATATGTTTATGTATATACACATATGTATGTATTTGTATGTATGTGTGTGTGTTTGTACGTATAGGCATTCTACTAATCTAGTGGTTTAGTAGGACAGAGCCTGGAACTCCCAGGTGACGAAATTCCCTCTATCAATGCAAATTAATACCTTCTCTGCAACTTATAGGCATCTAGGTTGTGCAGTGGATAGGTAGTCAAGCCTAGAGTCAGGAAGACTCATTTTCCTGAGTTCAAATATGGCCTTAGAGACTTACTGTGTGACCCTGGGCAAGTCACTTAACCTGTTTTCCTCAGTTTCCTCATCCATAAAA